AAACCCACTGTTCCTGAGATTCAGAAGCCCACAGTTCCAGAGATCCCGAAGCCTACAATTCCTGAAATTCCAAAGCCTGCACTTCCTGAGCTTCCAAAGCCGGAGTTGCCTACTTTGCCCAAACCAGAAGTACCAAAGGTGCCAGAAATCCATGACCTTCCTAAGCCCACCTTGCCAACCATTCCTGAGTTGCCCAAAGACTTCCCCATCCCTTCCTTACCCCATCCTTAAAGAAATGCTTTTTAATTTGTGAAAGCATGTGATTGTTCACTTCACTGCTACAACTATTATTAAAGAAAACTTCATGATCAGTCCAGAGGGTACCATGAAAGATTGAATGATTAATTATTTTTATTTTTATTTTTATTTTCTCCATTGTTGTGTTATATTGTGATTGACTTATGTACCTCATTCCTTTGTGAAGATATACTACACATAGATTGTTGAATCAGTTTTATTTCATTTCTATGAGCGAAAGCAAGTTGAAACTAATGCATGATAATATGAAACCCAACCATGACCCSAAGTTTTTATACCTAAGAAAATAAAGAACCAAACTATATTTCTAACTCTAAACTGCACGAGTTCAGAGAAATAAAATGGCAAATCAATGGTTGTCAGTGTACTAGTTGTAGATCATGTGCCTGCCCATCTGATGCTCTTCCACATAGGTGCACCAAGTCCTTCAGTCTTGCAAAAACTAGATGCTACCTTTKGCTTGTTAGTGTTTTAGTTTGCTTTTGTTCAAATTGAAGCCTAAGCTTGTGTTTGCTGAAGTTAGCTGAAGATAAATCATAAACCATATAGCTAAGTCGTTCACTTCAAGTTTACTGTACAGTCTGTTTTAAAGGCTTTGTTCCAAGTTAATGAGATACAACGAATGTGGCATTTTACCAATCCCTTCCGGCAAGAGTAATTGGCTTTCCATATGTTTCGGAGTGTTATATATTGTTTTCTTTATAAAGGGGACAAAACCCCTAGAAAATTATATTTCAAACAACGAAAAAATTTACAAAATTACAGTGGGGATATATACCCACCCAATCGAGTTACATTGTTTGTCAACTCATACAATAAGGTTCCTGAAAACCTTTTCGTCTTTCCCGGATCCGAATAAACATTCTGTTGGCTCGAATAACATTTTCATTTACCACATACTGTTGTTGCTGATGAGTTCCATTACTATTTTCGTGTTGCTATAATTGTCTTTTTATTTGCTATTACCTAAAAATGTAATCTACGAAATCAAAGAAAACTATTACCTGGCAAAAACATAAGTATTTTGCCGAACAAAAAGAATCCAAGCAAAATAGGATTAATATTGCCCATGACTTCATTTCTTCTTTTTTTGCTATGTGGGACAGAATTCGCTCAACAAGCGAAAGCCAGGTTCTTAAGTTTTTAACTTCATCTTGAGTAATTCTAAATAAGTACTACCTTTGTTGTAAAATACGACTGTTGCTCAAAGTTTAGTGTTAAACATGTCCTTTATTTATGATAAAAAAAAATTGGTGCATCTCACCATAATAGATTGAGCATATGAATTGCTTCAATTTTGAATGTTGAGAAACTAAAAGGTGTGCTTCTTTAAACTATTTGGAATATGGCAGGCTTCAACATATTCTTGGATGCATTAGATCATTGCCTTCTGCCAACTTGAGTGATTCCCAGGCCCCGATTCTGGCACTACTTGAGTTATTATTTAAAAATGAACTTGTTCAATGTATGAACTTGGTTCGCTTGCTGGTCTATGGGGGCACAACTTTAGGTATAGACGTACAAATGTTCTATTCTTATGTGTTGGACCAAGATTTATTAAGTCTCGATTTTACTTTGACCCTAATAACTGTAAACCAAACTTTTTATGATCAATAATACACCTTACTAGTGTCGTCGTGGATTAGCTTGATCACAAAGATCAAGTGAACCACGTTGGTATGTGTGTGTGCATCGTTTTCTAGTGATTTCTAGTCTTTTACAATGATAGCCGTATAATTTACAGACAAAGGAATTATGAGTCTGTTTAGCGGCTTCTGGTCTAATTGTGGTATGATAACTGGACTGGCCAAGTCCCCTAAAAAAGTTACTCCCACAACTTTCATCATCTTCAGAAATAAAAAAGAACCTGCTCTTTCAGACCTCTGGGGAAGGCCAAGAGGTCTCAAAATCTGAAAAATTATGTCAACTAGTTCAGGTTATTCACCAACAACATCCCATTTATATGTCAACTACTCTTTTAAAAGTTTTTACGAAATGCAAAATATCGTAGTAAAAATTTTGTGGCTTACAATGTTAACTGTACTCTTTTGATCACATAGATCTATAGTTTATATTAATAAACTTGTTTTATATATGGTAAAAATAAGAACACATTATAAATACTAAACAACACTTCCGACAATGAGTGAAATTGTGTTTAAAAAGAAGTCAAATTATAATATAATAAACAGAAGACAATTACAATTAGTTCAAACAAAATATAAAATAATCAAGCAATGGGGATAGAGTTTGCTGAACAACAAAAGTTGAACAGCGTCATGTACGAAGTTCAACAAAGAATAACATACTAATTGATTAAGTGACTTAATTATAATCAGACATATGAAGCTCTCAAATAAATAAAAAGATGAGCATTTTTCCAACCCCACTCCCTCTCAAGTTTGACAAGATAGGACAATTTCTAAGGTACAGATGAGAAGTTGAACTAAAAATGCCAATTTCTTTCTCATTCCCACCAACTCATCATCAATGGGTCCCTCTTCTCCATGACTCAATCTTCTATATAAATCCATATCCACAAACATATATTCCCAATCCAACTCAAACACCTTCTTAGTTATTGATCCGCTTCATCAATCCAACGCAATCTCAATGGCTAATTCCTATCTCATTTCCTTCCTACGACTCATACTAGTTTCGATCACTTTAGCGTCAATAAGTGGTGGGATGATCAGTGCTGAGGC